AAAATCATGATTTTCTCACGGAGCACCTATCAACCATCACCCAGTGGCAGTGCGGTATGTCTGCGGACTTACAACGCTAGAGGGCCAGGTGGTTAGGGTGCTCGACTCGCAATCTGAGGGTCATGGGTTCGAATCCCTATCACACCAAACATGCTCGCCCTTTCAGCCGTGGGGGCGTTATAATGTGACGGTCAATCCCACTATTCGTTGGTAAAAGAGTAGCCCAAGAGTTGGCGGTGGGTGGTGATGACTACCTGCCATCCCTCTAGTCTTACACTGCTAAATTAGGGACGGCTAGCGCAGATAGCCCTCGTGTAGCTTTGCGCGAAATTCAAAAAACAAACAAACAAATACAACGCTAGAATCCGGGTTTCGATACCCGTGGTGGGCAGAGCACAGATAGCCCATTGTGTAGCTTTGTGCTTGATTACAAGCAAATTACAAGTTTTGATCGTACAAAAAAAGTGTTAAATATTTTATTAAAATTTAAAATCATGATTTTCTCACGGAGCACCTATCAATCTCGAACGGAATACCAGTGTTCCGCGGAACATAGCTTGTGAAACGCTGCCCTACAACATTATGTTTTGAAACGCTGCCCTACAACATTATGTTTTGAAACGCTGCCCTACAACATTATGTTTCAGTAGATTCGTATCCAACAAGGCCATAATGTGTGGTGATGACTAGCTGCCTACCCTCTAGTCTTACACTGCTAAATTAGGGACGGCTAGCGCAGATAGCCCTCGTGTAGCTTTGCGCGAAATTCAAAAACAAACAAAAATCTTTACCGTGGTCTGGTGATTTGGGCGCTAAATTCGCAATCTGGGGATCGCGGGGTCGAAACCCGGATATCTTTTTCAAGTGATCTACAATTGAAATCTCTTCCCGTGTTTAGCAAACCACCATTAAAAATGGCAATTCTTTTAAGGCTGTTATAAAATATCTCGCATCTCAGACCTGTTATCATACGAACTTAAAAACAAAAATCAAGACTGTCAATATACTGACTGTTTTTCCTTTACTTCACTAAGAGAAGAAACAATTCCAAACACTCTTGGAGATGTAGACGAGAAATATTCTAATATTTTAAACTATTTTTGAAGTATTCTAACTATGTGGCTAGGACCTGGGATTTTCTGTGGCCTCACTAAAATATACTAAGCTAGCATCCTCTTGCATCGTATTTCATTTTATATTGGTTCTTGTTCGCTATTAATTGGGGGGGGGGGGCAAACTCTTAGACATTTCACGAGTGAAAATGCATAAATACGTGGCTAGGCATTGAATTGAATTTTATTGCAGACAGTAAACGTGTAACACCGACACTTTGTCCCATCAGTTAGTGGCTTAAGTCACAACGATTTGGGACTTCTACACGAACTGGAAGTAGTTTTTTTTTAGTTGACTTCTCCTGACTAGAGTTGCCTGAACCCAAACATGTTCTCTTGGATGAAAACCTGTTTGTTGCTATGGGATCAGCGTCACATTCGTCCTTAGCTAATGTGTTTTTACGCCAATTTGACTGAACCGGATTGGATAACTGCCTCACTGATTTCGAACCTATTTTCTACAATTGGTATCTTGATGACACTCGTTTTATTCCGTTTCAAAGATCGCATTTCTCTGTTACTGAATTTAGACTTTTTTGCAAATTCCCGCAATTCTTTCATTAACTTTATCTGCGAATTTGAGCAAAAACTCCCCGCTTTTTTTTTCTTTTAGACATTCTTAGAATATATGACCTTAGAATATATTTCTTTGCCGTTAAAAAACAAAAACTTTCACTGGTTTGTTCACCTGATTTGAACGCTACAAGCGGAATTTTTTATCAGTTATATAGATCTTGTAAAATCTGTTGAAGCTATTGATAGTTGTAAAAATTGCTGGTAAGAAATGAACTTTTGACATTAACGTATCACATAAAATAACCCTTTACTTTTCTCAAGAGTAAATATGAACAACTTTCGAAATTCTCCACCGATCTGTGTTGTTCGATTGTTCAAACTCTTTCTTTCCTTCCTTGCCAAACAAAGTAATTTAAACAAACTTAACTATCCAAACTTGTTGAATCATTCTACTTCGAAGATAAATTTACAAACATCTTTTAAGTCTTGTTTTTGACTAGGAGATTTATTTCTCTTTAATTTGAGAACTGAAAGAAACGAACTTTCTAATGTAAATGACTATAATCCATCCATGATGTGAAAATACGAACTAAATATTCTCAGAGAACAACTTTAAAATCCTGACTTCAGACTATTTCGACACAGAACTACTAACACAGCAAGCTTTTTTTAACTGAAAGTTTTTCAGGGTGTGCTTTATCGACTGTTGGTAACTTGAAATATTTAATTTATTCATTTGAGTAGAAAAATAAAACTCACAGCCTTAATGTTTGTTTCACTGACCTCTTTTGTAAGAAGCTATTTTTACATGTTCGTCTACACTTTTTCTCTGTTAACTTACGAGAAAAAAAAATTTTAAAAACGCCCAGAAAATGTCGTAAAGAGATCTTCAAGGCAGATGTCGTAGATATTTTATGATGTTTATTTACGACAGAAACCAAGACGCTTATGAAAAAGAAAGAAAGTGCCAAATATCACTTAAATTAAAAATACCAAAGTGAAATTAACCTATAGAAAAACCAGTGTGTGTCACGCTTGATTTCTCGAAATAGGAGGAGTTATAAAAGCCAAAATGCATTTATCCAGATAGAATAGTTCGATTACTGTCTGCTCATTACGATTTTAGTGAGGAGGTGCCGTGAAACCTTATAAGTGTAGTGAGTGTTGGTATAATAAGACTAAAACAAAGACGTAGTGTGGGATCATCTAGCCTTGAGCGAAGTGCATAAAAACTTATCATGAATGTAAAAATATCGATTCAATTTGAAACTTAAATTGTTTCTGAATTAAGCTATTTTCTATTATATCACCAAAATTTTTGATAAAAAACAAACCTTTTTAATCAACGGAGACTCTTGTTTGTTTGGAATTAAGCACAAAGCTACACAATGGGCTATCTGTGCTCTGCTCACCACGGGTATCGAAACCCGGTTTCTAGCGTTTTAAGTCTGCAGACAACCGAGACTCTAAATTAAGAAATCAA